CTTTACCTGCAGATATGGGGCCCTCAGGGCACCCAGATGGACCCAATTCCTGGCAGCTAAGTCAGGTGGAAGTTGTTGCATTCAGACCAGCTCATCTTGGTTAGGTGCAGCTGCATGGGAGTCTGACTGCTCATTAATAGTCCCTCTCTCAGCCTTGAGAAGATGAGAGAGAGAGGGAGAGAGAGATATCGCGTGCAATGTGGATGCATAGAGACCTTAGGGAACACAAGGTCATCAATGGCGCTGACACACACTCCAGTCTTCTACCTGTGGCCAGCCTTGGGCTTTCTAAAATGAGGTCAATGTGCCCTCAGCATCTGTCCTGCAAAGGGCAGTGGCCTCAGGACTGTCATCTGTAGGAGCCTGTTTACAAGCACACTGGCCATGGCCAGGCCACCACATCAGACTATCCTAGGGCACACTATGCTGCAGTACCCTGCCTCTTACCCCAATGACTGGGCCAGCCTCCTAGAGGGAAGAACCAGGGTGACCGGGTTGTTCCAGGCTGGGGACAAATTCCAATACCTGACTTCCAACCCAGAGCTCAAGCTGAAGTCTTTATGTGGATTTTTATTTCCTGAGGGTCTGGGGCAGTGGTGACAGTATAGCTTTCCATGAGTCATTTGATGTCATTCCAGGAGGAGATGGGTTCTGGGACCAGGGGATTCAATCATTAGTAAGTCAAGAAGAGGATTTGTAAGAGTCCAGGGAGGGCGTGGAGGGCCTAAAAGTGGACAGTGTTTGTCCTGTGCTTTTTCTAGCTCTGGTTTCTTTATTCTAGCACCAAACATCAAAATGAAACACATTTGACCTTTTGTTGTTAGGCCCCTCTTGAGGGTTGCTCAGTGAGATTCATCAGTTTAAGGGTCCTATGGAGAGTCTGGGCAAACCTCTGCTCTCCACCTTGGCCTGGAGCTTGGCTGTGAAATGACTGTGTGAACCCCCAGACCCCACCGTGGGCAAGAGATGCGCATCCATATGGCCTGACTTCTGCAGTGGGATTCGCCAGGCCTTCTCTCCATTACTCACCTTAGAGAGGCCAAGCAGAAAACCGGTGCTTTAATCCTGTTACCCCTCCTTCACTGGGACAGAAGAGGATTCAGAGAGGTGGTATCTTAAAGATAATATAGAAAGGTAGCAGGGAAAAAAAGAGGAGAAAAGAGGAATAAAGAATGAGAAGAATGGAATCAACTTGAAAGGCAGAGAATAATAATTCAAATCCTGTTAGAAGTACAAAAACTCTGTTATCAAACTAAGACTTGCTGCTTTCAAAAACTGTTTCGGAAAGTCCAGTCTCTCAATAAATTGGGCCTGCAACCCCATTTCAATCCATATATTGTATCTTTCCAACACTTTAACACTAGTTTATCTTGGCTTACAGGATAAATGGATCCCTTGAAAAGGTGTCCACAGATTCATTTTTAAGTGTTATTTTATATGTACCAGAAACTCTTGTTTATGACTCTGCCAAGAACATTTTGGAATCTTCTAGATCTTATTTGTCGACCTACACATTTGATGTTTTTAGAATTTATCAAGTTCTATGTGGAAAATGGGTGACAAAGTGCTAACCTTTAAATAATGCTCCAGATTCATGATGGTATAGAAATTAAGCATGAAATTCTCCACTTTGATTTTGATGGACTGTGGATTTAGGCACATACAATCTTGTGCCATATATTAAAATGCTGGCATTACTCAGGTGGAGAACATGGGGTCACAGAAAACCCAAATGAACAGTCATCTCTGATGTTAGTTGGTTCTGACAAGTCTAGATCGAAGAGTATATTTTCCTTGGCATGATTTATCCTTGCTTTGACCTTGGCCGTCCTTAGGTTGTAGGTAACTGACTTGGCTTATTAATCCCATGGCTGGAGACTGTGCCAGTGATTTAATATTTATTGAGCACGCACAACATGTCAAACATAGTACAAGAGCTTTCCATAGCAACTCAACAACACAAGCATCATAGGAAAGACATGAACACATGAAGGTAAACCTTTCAAGGACCTGCCTTGGGAAACAGAGGTGATTCTGCTTTATGGGGGATGGGCCTTGTGTTCACTCCAGGATCAAGCCACACTCCTGCCTGGGTCCCATTGAAGTAACTTCCTTGCCCTGCATTTGAAAGACTCAATGTTCAGACGTACAAACCACAGGACAGAGGTGGTAGACTTAGCCTTCCTGAGATAATAAATATAAAAATGAGCTGCTTCCATAAAAGATCAGCCTGAAAATTCATAAGAACAAAAACTCAGGAAGGTTACATCAATGGAATATTGTTACATCTCTTGCAGTTCTTTCTCCAGGTAACTGTTGCCAACACATATTGAAACACTCCTCTGCCGATTTAGTGAGATAAATCTATTGATTGACTGCCAAAACTGAGACCTGGGGACAAGGCTTGCAAAGAGGATTACAGAGCCTCTATCAGCCTTGGGCATGGCTGCTGCCAAGTCCCAGGCTGGATCAGTGCCCAAATTTGCTCCTGTCTGACTCCCTGCAGGAACAGCCTGGGTATACATATTAGGTGCTTAGATTAATCAAAATAAATTACGAAATACAATTTTCTACCTACAGTCCTATACGGGTTTCTCCGTAACTCATCTCAGAATTTTTTAATTAAATTAGTCTCAAATAGATGTCACATGTGGTAACAATTAATTGCTATTCAGTTACCAATTTTCATAATTTGTAAAGATGTTATAAACCCAGCATGATTCTCCCACCTCTTTGAGCTCTCCATAAATTCTGTACAAATGTCAAAAACTTCACATTGTAGACATGACAGAAATGGGTGGCAGCTTTTCTAATGATTAATGGGGACTCTTTCTTCTCACAGTTAAAATTAAGCTAATCGGGGAACATTTTAATTTTTTAACACCCTGACAATGAGAACTTGGAAGAATTTATGGCATGTAACTTTAAGGTGCAATTAACCTGAAGTTGATGTTTCTTCCAAACTGATAAAACTCACAAAGTAGTACCTCACACAGAATTATGTGAGAACTAGTGAATGAATACCTGTATATTCAAGCAAAAGGATTTCTTTCTGTGTGATAAATCAGGTGTTGTCTGAAGAGTTGTATGACACGCAACTTGCTGTCAAATCCTTAACACCTTTGGCAGTTACAATTGAATCTTCATTTGGATGTTTCTGAGGCTCATTAGAAAAGAGGAGAATTCTTAAACTGCTTAATATTGGATGCACATCAAAATTACTTCAAGTGGTATAGAAAATGCAGATGCCCAGACATCATCTCGAGTCAATTAGACTCTCTAGGGGTAGGACTCAGGCATTGATGTTTTTTCTGAAGCTCCTAGGTAATACTAGGAGTACCCAGGGCTGAGAAACAGTGATTTAAACCATACAAGAGACATGCACACCTGTAATCCCAGTGATTCAGGAGACTGAGACAGGAGGATCACAAGTTGAAGGCCAGTCTCAGAAACTTCCTGGGATGCCTGGGAGATACGCTCATTTGGGGCAGGGGACACAATGCTGTGACAATATGTTATTGCAGTGGGCTGCATTATTAGAGCACAGATTCTTCGTCCTCCAATACTTGGACAAGGCTAAGTGGCTTGGTGACATTGCCAGAGGTAACTTCTACCTCCCCTCCTAAACTGCCTAGTTCCTTCTTCAAAGCCAGCTCTTTCCTGCGCAGTGAAGAGGCCAACCCTGTAGCTACTAAAGACTCCTCTGGCTGCCTGGCCCAATCACAAATGCGTCCTCTCCCATCACGGGTGACATGGGTCTCAGGATTTAATACTTGTCATCCCAATACCAACCTTTCTCTCCTTGCCTTTCAGAGCACTTCAGCAAGTGAATGAACTCATTTCTGGGGGTTAGAGAACCAAGAGGAGGGGAAGCATTGACTGAGTGGCTGTAGACACTAGTTTGTGCCTCACATACCACAGGGGCTGATCTGACAGCTGGGTATTGAGTATCATTTCCCAAGGCTCCTGCTCTCACTGCCCCAATTGCTGTTCTGACATTCATTATGGAGACCCTTGTCTCAGGGCACTTGTCCTCCTTAACTCTCAGGAGATTAACATGATTATTATCAGCCTGCTACCATGCCCAACAGTCTTCACCTGTTCCCTTAACCCTGGAAGTAATTAGTGAACTGTTGGATCTGTGCATCTTATGGACAGCAGCGTATTTTCCTGTGCTGTCCTTAAGGAAACTTCTCCCAGTCCTTCTATTCAGGGTTGATATGTTCCAAGTGTCTCCAAGGAGCAGGTGCTGAGCAGTCAGACGACAGCTGCTGATGTGTTGCAATTGAGCAATTAGAGAATGCAGGAGAATTGCTGTGGCATACAGTTTACATCGAGCGTTCAGAACACCAATAAAATATTTGAGTGCCTGCCTTGTGGCAAACACTGGTTGTGCACACACACACACACATACACACACAAACACACACATGCACAATGCCTGTCCTTGTGTCCTTTAGTTATATGTCCCCTTAAATGAACTGGACCTTTTTCTCTTTAGCTATCTATTCATTGACTAATCCATCTCATCATTTTAAAATAGTAGTTGAGGAGTAATAACAAAGGACAACAAAAACAAGACTTTTTGAAAGGCAGTTTGTAAGTGGTTTTGTACTATAAACTCAAGTGGTTTTAAAACTAAAATCCTTTTGTGCCTAATGGTCTTATTCAGGTAATGCTGAAATCCTAAGTAAAGAGTTGTAAAACATATTCACCTGAAATTCTGGAGTCAAGGGTTCAAGTTGATGTAAGAATACCAGGCATTATCTCAGCTGAGTCCTTTTAAAAAGGCAAGCTGAAAACCTCTGCCAACCCCAATAGGCCATTTGGAATCCCACCCACAGTGTTCCTTCACCACCACTGAGCAAGAGGAAGAGAAAGCAGGGATGAAAACCATGGTTCTAAAACGTTTTCTGACCCCAGAGAAAGGTCTGTTTGTCTTTCCAGGACATAAGGAAGAAATAATAAATCCTCTTCCCTGGCCTCCTACTCCGCAAAGCCCACTTAACATTTTAAAAGACACAAGAACAAGATAGGACGCTAGACAAACAGTCTGGGTTGGAAATTTTTCCCTTGTGTTGGCTTAGCTCTGGAAATAAGGTCTCCAGTCCAACCTTGGAGGCCAGAGAACCTGGAACTCTGCAGCCCAGGCCTGGCACAGTGGCATCAGATGATCACGCTGACGGTCACGGTCTGGCCATGGGGTGCGATCTTGCGGGGCCAGGTGAGCAACAGCTTGCGCAGCTCCTCGCGGAAGCTGTCGTGCAGCCAGGCGTAGATGAAGGGGTTGTAGCAGGCAGAGCTCATGGCGAGCCAGTGGCAGAGCAGCTGCACCAGCCCAAAGGCATAGGGGTCGATGGCTTGCGGGTCAAGATCCCGCATCAGGTTGAAGACATGCAGCGGCAGCCAGCAAACGGCGAACACCACCACAACCATTACCAGCAAGCAGAAAGTGCGGCGACGCCGCGCACGGTCCCAGTCCGCCTGGCTCTGGGTCACGCAGCCCGGCACCACGCGGTTCCGAAGCTTCACCGACACCCGGACATAAGACAGGAGGATGACCAGCAGGGGGAGCAGGTAGGTGACAAGCAGCAGCCCCCAGGCGTAGAGCTGGCGCTGGCGCTCCTGGGAGCCCCAGAACTCCTCGCAGAGGCGCACGTCGTGTGGCTTGAGCTCGACGTGGTAGGTGTGCACGGCGGCGGGCAGCGCCAGCACCGCGGACAGCGCCCAGATAGCCAGCACCGCGTAGGCGCTGAGGCGCAGCGAGATGCGCCGGCGCAGCGGGTGCACCAGCACGACGTAACGGTCCACTGCTATGGTGGTGAGTGTGAACACCGACACGTAGACGGTGACCGGCTGCAGGAAAAAGACCAGGTGACACAGACCGCCGCCGAACACCCAGCCGCGTGGCTCGAAGGCGTAGGCCAGCGTGAGCGGCACGCAGGCGGCACACATGAGCACGTCTGACAGGGCCAGGTTGCCGATGAGGAAGTTGGTCACGTTGTGCAGCCGGCGCACTCGCGCAATCACCAGCACCAGCAGGCAATTGCCCACCAGCCCCACGACCACCACGACGCTGTAGAGAAGCACAATCAGCCCCTTCAGCTGATGCACAAGCTGCAGGCTTTGGAATGGCGTGATGGCCTGCGTGCCCGGGCCTGCTGCTGACCCGTTGCCCGGCGAGGCCTCTGTGCTCTGGTTAGCTGGAGTTGTGGCTGCTGCCGGCAGCCCAGAAAACAAGTCAGGGACCCTGGGGTTTCGAGCAGGTAGTGAGGTCATGGCCACCTGTCCGAAGATAATTGAAGTCCGTCACGTTCTGTTCTCCATCCGCCCCTTCTACATCAATCGCGCCCGCCCCTCACCACCCAAGTCCTCCCCTTGGAATAATTGGCCACACAACAACAACAAAATCAATAAAAATTGCAGTCCTTATTCCTGTGTGAAATAAATCCAAGCATGGTTAGACATGCACGGTTACTTAAACTACTCCTACTTCATTTATAGCCCTTCAGGTCTGCGCAGTCCAGACCCAGGAGCGAGGTCCTACCTGGAGTGGGGCTTGGCGGATGGGAAAGCGCTCCCAAGAGGGAGGGAGGGGCAGGACCTGCGCTGTCCTTTAGCGGCCCTCGGCCCGCGACGGCAGCCCGGGCTTCTGGCTTTTCCGCCGCGGCTGAACGGATCCAGGGGTTCCCAGTGGGCTCAAAGCTTTTGAGAGGGGCTGGGAGCGCCTCCCCTCCCGCCCGCCCTCCACTCCAGCGCTCCCTTGTATGGAAAATGGGGGCGGAGCGTGCATTTCCCAACTCTGCGCTCAGAGAACTAGTGGGGAGGGCAGTGCCGGAGGACCGAGCCAGGAAGGGGGAGGGCCGGCCAGCCGGGGCTGGAGAGGCGCGGGGTAGGCTCGGCTGCGGAGCTTGCCGGCCTCTGAGGCTCCTGTGCACGAAGAGCGAGAGGGAGATGAGGAGAAGCCGGAGGCGCCGGCTGTCAGGAAGACTGGCGCGGTCTTAAGAGGGAAGGCGCAGGGGAGGGAGAGAGGGTGAGGGTCGAGATGCACCGGGCAGGTGGGGGAGTCAAGACAGACCTGCCCTTCAGCTCCGGATCCTGGGGAGAGTCCCAGCCAAGGCTGACAGGGGCGCTGGAGGGTTCTGGCAGGGGTGGCAGCGTGGCGCCCGGAGTTCGACGCGGAACTTGGGGCTCTCGCCCTACTGCGGACCCACTGAGCCTTGTGCCCAGGCTGCAGCGCGCTTCGCGGGCGCAGGGTCCCTCCAAGCCCGGAAGGCTTCGGCACCACGGACAGCTCCCGCCAGACCGCCTGCTGGTCCTGGAGTGTCACCCGAGTCCCGAGCCAGAAAACAATTAGGGGAAACCCTCTCTCTAGGAGTCCCAGGCGTCCGGAGAAGGCCCGGTTCAAAGAGCTGCCTCGCTGCTTGCTTTCTGAGCTGGGGCTGCCGACTCAGAAGAGTCGAGGGGATGAAGGAAGAGGAGCCTGGTCTCCCGAGGTCGGAGGGTTGGTGACTTGCTCCTTTGCAGATCATCCCACATGGGACAACGCCATCTTTTACTTCTCTGAGTCAGAAAATGCAGCCCTAACCCTAACCCTAACCCTAACCCTAACAATTACCTACACAGACACCGTGTCTGGCCCCACCACTCCCTCTCACTTTCCCTCGTGCTTTCAGCTACAGCGACCTATGCCTTCTCTGCATGATTTTTCCAGTACAAAATGTTAAATTTCTGGACCAGTCGTCCATCCTTTTCCTCCTYGAATAAACGCCCTCCTCGTTTTTTATTTAAGGATAAAAATAATACTAGTAATCGCAGAATTTCTGCATGGATAACAAATGTAATAAACATTTGCAAAAAACGTTTCATAAAATCTTTAGCAGTATTCAGTCTCATTGAAATGCAAATTTATCTGGACCATAGAGGGTTCATTATCAGGGGAATGGGGGCTTTGTAAATTCCTACATATACTCCATCTCAGCTCTTCTGCCTCTCTTTTCCTTTTTTTTTTTTTTTCCAAATAATAGAGCTTCATTGTCCCCTTTCTGCTAAGTCCTGTGCTTGGTCCTCGAGGCTATAGATATTACTACTCCAGCTAGACTGGAAAGAAGTAGCAAATTATTGCACCTTCCAATTCAAGTGAGTCATTCATACAGGAAGAAAAGTCAGTGTTGGGCACAAAACAATGGATTGTATGCACCTGTATCCATCCTAAACCCACGCTCCCTGAGTTACAATTTAGCTAAAGCCAGTGTGAATTTTTTTGAAGCTCCAGATAAGATACAATCTGCACTTGCCTTATCTCTCACTGAGTAATTTTTCCATCATGGTCGCTGGCAGGGTTGTATGTACCTGAAAGCAGAGGTGATGCTTAGCTTCAAAATGCCTTAGGAGAGGAAATTGTGGCAAAGTAGGTAAAAAAGGATTTGGGATATAGTTAGGCCTCATCACCAGAGCGATTGCTGTGCTCAATACATACATCGTAAAAGTAATCAGAAGAAGATGACAATCAAAAAATCGTATTTTGGAATAAAGAACATGTAAATATGGGGGTTTCAAAGTTCAAMATTTGCGTACCCTTCGCAGAAGAGAGTGGATCATTTTCCACATTAATGCTCAGACTGTCTTGTGCTAATACTGCTCCAAAACCCTGAAAGGTCAAAAATAAACAAAGAACCCTGAAGACAAATTAAGGTCATCCTTCATAGACCACACAGCAAAATAAGGATTTTGTTTCCTCCCACTCTCAAAAAGCTTTGGATGGCCCATCAAACCAAGGCCAGCCCCTGAGTTTGGCATTTCCAACCAGCAGTCCTTGAATTCTGGTGCTCCGGCATGTGTGGGGATGGAGGGCTTCCCCATGCTGTCCAAGTCACTCCCTCTCCTCAGGCCTCACTTGGTTAGCTATTGGCATGCCCTCACCATTTCTGCCCAATAGCTCTCGTAGGGTTTATTTTCTTTTTTAGAATGTTGGCTGCTTTGTCCCACTCTACTCTAGGTGTTCACATCCTTCATACCCTACAAGATCCAACTCCAAGATTACCTTGTTCTCAAAGACTTCTGCCTTTCTCGCTGGGGTTGTGGCTCAGCGGTAGAGCGCTCACCTAGCATGTGCAAGGCCCTAAGTTTGATCCTCGACACCTCATAAAAATAAATATTTAAAAAAATAAATATTAAAAAAAGACTTCCACCTTTCATAATTCTTCTGTCCTTTATTACTTCCTACCTTTGAAACTGCAGAAGTGTTTAGCTTCCCTGTCTCCAGCAACACTGACTGTAAACTCTGTAAGGGCCAGAATCAATGTCTTAAAGCACGTTTGTACCTATAATGTGTCACCAACCCAGTCAATACCCAACACGTTTCTTTTAATTGAACAAATTAAAGTAGCCACCATTTATTGAGGGCTTTATGCATGCTAGGCACTGGGCTAAGTATTTCACATGTATAAATCCCAGGGAAGAGAGTCCATCATTTGCCAAGTTCCAAGCTAAGTCTGGTAAGGGTTCCAMATAATTAAACCATAATGACATAGCTAATAGTCAGAGGGGCTGGAATTTCAGCTTAGATCTGCCTGGTCCTAGAGCCAAACCATTCAACTGCTTCACTATACTGCCTATGAGTGAATGGCAGACATACCTTCAAATGGGACATTCAAACAGGAAAAATGTAGGCTTCTTCAAGGAAAATTAAGTGTAATCCTCCATAGAACTCCAGAGAATTAAGTGGTTTATTAAAGGAAGCTCTAGAAAGCTCAGGTACAACTCTAGCCTGTTAAGGTCTGTAAATAAGTCAAAAATAACACCTGGTATTTTGCCAGAGAAATGTTAGAGTTCGTAAACAAGTCTGGATGGTGCCTGGCAAAATGTCAGAGGGAGTGGTTTGAGAAGTAACAAAACCGAGCCATTAAGTGTGGAGATTCCTTATTGGTTGACTGATGTATCTAGTTTATGCTAATTAAGATAAGCTGTGCAAAATGTATAAATAGCTCTCTTGCCCTACAATAAACGGCTCCTACTCCTGCTGCATCAACGTGCACAAGTTATTCGTCACCCCCCGGCTATTTTGCTGCAGCCGGACTGCGGCACTAGCCCTGTTGTGTTTAAGTTAAATTGATCTTTATGTCTCACCCAAAAGACTCCTCGCTTCTATCCCATAGAGGAAACAAAGTTTGGGCCATCTGAATTTCAGATGAAATTCCCATAATCCCTTTCAAGAGGGATTATGGAAACCTGGTCTCTCCCCCCTCCTCTCCTTCCTGGCAACCTGCTCCACTGCATGTTCCTGTCATGATGTGCTGCCTTGCCACAGGCCCAAAACAACAAGGCCAAGAAGCCATGCACTGAAACTGCAAACCAAAATGTTTTTCCCCTTTATAACTTGATTATCTTGGGCATTTTATTACAATCACAGAGAGCTACCTAACACAAAGACAATTGGCAATGTAATGTGGCAAACATTAGACAGAAACAATAGAAGTAAAGACTGGAATTAGGGGCCTGGGAAAGTTGATTAGAGGGATCCAAAAATTTGACACAAGTTAAGTTCATGCTGATACATTGAAGTTAACCCAAATATCTGAGAAAACACTAGAGATCATCTTTAATTACTAGCAGAAGAAAGCAATTATTTGGAACTTGTCTTCTAAGTCCAGGCGGTAATAAGGCAGAAGCTCCCCTAGAAATGTATTTGGTCTTCCAAGCCTGTCCTGTGAGTGTCCCAAGAGCCAGGCACCCTCTTGACTCCTGAGGCTGAGCCATGCTCCAGCTGTAGAAGCCTCTCCCACACGGCAGGGCTAGCTACCTAGGACAGAGAACCACCGYTGACAGGCAGTGTAACAACGGACATAACATCTCAGACAAAAGCAAASAGAGCACCATGTATTTTTCTAGATGACTTTGAGTAAGTGATTTTTGTCACAGACCCCAGACATACTAATTATATCTGGGATTCTTGATTTCCAATTTTTCTCAGACTTAAATATCTATTATAGCTGTTTCTTTCAAAATCTTTGTGGGTTTTTTTTTTTTGGCTTAATAGTTTGTACATGAATTACCCACTCAACTAAAATAAGACCTTGAAGTAGCAGCAAGGCATAAGAAAAGAGAGATGCATGCGTGTGCTCCATCCTGATGGGCATATTGAATCAACCCTGGGTGAATGCCACATGCCACCTCTGGATATGTTTCTTTATTATCCAAATTCTTAAATAAATAAATTCAAAAGACATTCTACAAAAGCACAAGGTTCCCTCCCTCATGCATTGAAAATATAATTGATTTTTAAAATTAAAATAAAATAYAAAAAGCTTCTTTAGGCAAAGTGTGTGTCATAGTAGGCAAAGAGCTCATCTTCTTGCTATTGTAGTAAGGAAGGTGCCCACACACCTGAGGGAC